GAGCACTTAACAAAATGTCCACGTGAAAAAGGCATCACACGGGGCTACCAACAGGCCGAACATCAGCCCCTACAATGGTTGACAATGGACTTTTAAAAAATTCATCTCGGAAAATAAAACCGTCTAACCTCACTACATCAACTATCTCGATTACTTCCGTACTCGACTACCGTCACCACGGACGATACCACTGTGTCACATGGCCCGGCAACTGGTGAGAACCTTGAGATCGATACCAGTCGATACTCGCGAGTTCAGCGGGACAAGGGCGATTAACCCGTCGAGGTCGCGCGCGCTAATTAAACAAACATGTTAGTCCAGCAATCAGAAATGTTTCACTCATTACGGACACGCGAAAAGTGTTACATTTTACAGCGACTGTTTTATTTTACGAAAACGGTAATTAATTAATTTTTTAAAATTATATATATATATTATTTTAATCGAATACCGATCACGCAGGATGTATACAGATAAAATTGTAATTAATTACCGTTTATATCTGACAGAGAAATAAAAACCAACAAACGGAAGTGAACTTAGTCTAAATTTTGTAAACCGTATACATTTAGTTAACCTTCTTAATCTTGTAAACCTCAAACCAAGGTCCCAGCACCTTGATCGAACACATGAAAAAAAGAACCCTAAATTTTCAAAAATTTATTCTCCTTTCCGCAGACCACTTGATTTGATTTTTTTCCCCTCCAAGATATTTCCGCGAGCGTGACGTCACCACGAGAGCACGGAGACTTACTTGACACAGTTGCAGGATAAGCGACGGTGCCGACGGCAAGTCTAAGTCCGGAAATCCGACACGACGGTCAACGCGGAAATACCGGTCAAGAGGCCAGAGGTTAGATGTAAACACTTGTGCTTCACGTCACACACGTCTTACATCGAACATGTGGACGTCTTACATCAAAGATGTTGACGTCTTACATAGAACATGTGGACGTCTTACATCAAAGATGTTGACGTCTTACGTCGAACATGTGGACGTCTTACATAGAACGTGTGGACGTCTTATATCAAAGATGTTGACGTCTTACATCGAACATGTGGACGTCTTACACCTCCCTTGTGGACTTCTTACATCTAGCGTGTGGACGTCTTACATAAAACATGTTGACGTCTTACATCTTCCTTGTGGACTTCTTACATTTAACGTGTGGACGTCTTACATAAAACATGTTGACGTCTTAATCTCACAAGTTCACGTCTTACATCGAACATGTGGGCGCTTTACATCAAACATTAGTACGTCTTACATCAAACACGTAGACGAATTAAAGTGTTCGAAGTTCAGATCAATAGTCATAGTTGTAGACGTCTATCGTGAGATTCAAGTTCAGTTCTGTATTTGTCCATACGACCAGCACACATACAATGTGTATGTCTTCTGATCAGCACACATACAATGTGTATGTCTTCTGATCAGCACACATACAATATGTGTATGTCCTTTGATCAGCACACATACAATATGTGTATGGCATAAAGATCTACACTCATACAATATGTATGTCGTAAAGACCAGCACACATACAACATGTGTATGCGTCATAACGACTACCACACATACAATGTGTATGTCGTAAAGACCAGCACACATACAACATGTGTATGTCCTTTGATCAGCACACATACAATGTGTATGTCTTTTGATTAGAACACATACACTATGTGTGTACTTTGATCTACACACATACAATGTGTATGTGGTAAAGACCTCCACACGTTGACTCTATGACATAAAGGTCCAGCACTGGTCACGTGCCGTATGACAAAGAAATATTACCAGCTGTCAATCAAGCGTTTAGCAGTTAATTAACTAGGTGTAACGTGTGCGTGCGGCTGTGCTATAAATAGCCGGCTGGCACCGTAAGACAGGGCCGGGCTTAAGGCTGATCATCACATCACGTGTATTAGACTTGTCATCAACACAGAGCAGCAATGTCCTAAATGTCTACTTGCGTTAGTGTTCTTAGAACACTTGTGTTCAAATCTGTATGAGAGGACGGGTGTTAATCAGTGAGTACACTCACATCACTCACATATTGTATTTGGTGAGCCATAGGTACTCACACTGTGTAGGTGAGATAAACCGTCACGTGATGTGTGATGACAATGAAAGTATGCACAGGTACATATCCCGTTGTCATAGTTTCTAAAATAAAATGACTTAGTTTCTGAGACAAGGATACCAAATATTCGCCTCATAAAACGTAGTACATAGATCTGGGAACGGCTGAATACGATTGTGTACAGGATTGTGTACAGTGTACTTCACAATGGGAAAACTCTCTACTAAATTATAAAATTAAAGGACTGAATTTTAGATTCGTTTTATCTTAGATCGTAACCAGATTGTTATTTAGAGGTTTATTTTTTTTCGGAAATACTACTTTGTTTGCAGCTATGTTGATAGTATGCTTCAAGTCACGTGATGTAAAGTTCAAGCACGTGGTGCCCAGATCAATCACGTGGTTGTATCACGTGGTGCAAAGTTTATGTAGAAAAAAATCGAGAACAAATCAAATTTAAATATAACTTTATAACGTAGTTAACAGTCTATACTAGATACACGTGATTAAAAACGCTATTGCCAGAACACCATTATATTTACGTGGGCTACACGTAGGCTACACATAGGCTACACGTAGGCTACACGTAGGCTACACGTAGGCTACACGAAGGCTACATGTAGGCTACACGTAGGCTACACGTAGGCTACACGTAGTCTTAATGGAAAACTTAAATAAATGTCTGACCAAGGCAGTGAAAACACATCCATATAAGACATCCAAGACACATCAAAGACACACCTAAATGACACGATTCTCACGCGTGAGACACATCCATCAATGACATATCCAAGACACACGTAGCAGTGAGTATTCTAAGACAGTCTCAGCCTTAACAATCCACGTGAATACACATCCGCTAAAGACACATCATCCGAGACACAACTACCTACGAATTCCACCCTACACAACACAAGAAAACGATGCTATACACATCCTCTAATACACATCTACCTAAGATACGTCCTCTACGACACATCTACCTAAGAACCATCCTCTAAGATACATAAGACACCTCTGCCTAAGACACATCCTCTAAGACATATAAGACACATCTACCTAAGACACATCCTCTAAGACACATCCACCCTACACACCACAAGAAAACCCAGTCTGTCTACATACTCTCCACCACAATACACCGCAAATATCACCTGACATGTTTCTGGGGACGACTGACCTTTACTGACAATACTCTCCTCCCCAAAACACTTTCTTTTTACTCGGACACATATAATCTCAAACCCACCTGTCTCCTAAGCAAAATTTAACGGATTTTTGTTACACCAGGAAAGTTGAAGCGAATAAAAAATACATCCTTCGCACAAAACGACTTACATTTTTTTATAAGTCTATTTCCTTTAACAAAACGCGCACCTGCTAAACAAATACAGGACAGCGTTGGTCGTCTGCTTGAGTGTGGGGTTAATTGGACAAACTTTACAGATGTAACAATAAGCTCAGCCACGGGTCTCCATTCTTTGGCCGGGGTCATGACCTTTTCAACATTTCTCCCTCGGTCAGATAGAGAAAATGTAATCAACACGGGGCGACACGGCGGAGAGGGAGAGGATAAAACTCAATTACAGAAATAATTAATTGGTAGATTGGATAAGGGCGGGGTAGTGAATGAGTATCGGTGCATGTTTAAATTAAAGCAGTTAAAAAAAGAAAGCTTAATCGATACATTTATGGTAGTGATGCAAAATCAAAGGTAATGGAGTTATTTTTTTTTTCTTTTTTAAATTTTTTTTTTTAAATTTAAGGTGGATTTGGTTTATAGTAAAGTATCCCATGATTCAGAATTCAGTTTGTTAGAGGAAGTAGTGTACATGTATTTCTATATCCAATCAGAAGGAATTATTTTACAATACAAAGTTTGTCCCCACTTTACGTTCAGATCCCCAGGCAAAAGTCCAAAAGGTGGAAACAAAGAACCGACACCTCGACCACCCCGTACCGCACAATAAAAATTGATAAAAAGAGGGGGGGGGGGTAAGACTGGTTACATTTCTCTGAGTTGTTACATAAGCCAGTGTATCACGTGACAGCTGGTCAGCTGCTGCTATCTTACCACGTTACACTAGTCACGTGACGCGGGCGTGACGTCATCTGGTCTGAGTTTGGGCAACGTTTGACCACAGGTCACTTAGAGCGTCAGAGATAAATGTCGATTATCACAGTTAATCAGGGTGTTGTGTGGCTCTGTGTGTGCATGTGTGGTTATGTGTGTGGCTGTGTTTGTGTGGCTGTGTGTGTGTGTGTGTGGCTGTGTGTGTGGCTGTATGTATAACTGTGTGTATATAGCCATGGCTTCAACTGTTCTTTAGCTTACCAATCATAAGCCCACATAAACACCGCCATTGACCATACACTGGCTATAGTGTTGCAACAGTCAAATGTAAGGTGAATGCATGTTTCGAGTATGTTTCATAAAAAGGCGATATAAATCTAAAATATAGTGTGGGTGTGCGCATGCGCTAAAAAAGGAAGCAAAAGAGGGGAGAGAGCGGGAAGAAAATGACGATGTTTTGGCAGTGAAGTCGTTGTGTCAATGAACCAATAAAATCATGAAAATTTCCTGAACGTGGGTTGTTTAATGTTATAAATTAGACTATAATATGTAATAACAAAGGAGGAGGAGAGCGGTTGGTATTTGTTTTTTGAGCTTGTGCAATGATTGGCAGCAGAAAAGGCCGTGACAAGTGTCATTGGCCGTAGCTGTTGACCTTGTATTCTTGTTATAATCTAGCCATTAAACTTACATCTACTCTCTACTGACCTGGCGCGTCTAGGGTTTAAAATCTTATTTAAATAGACAATAAACATGCCAGTCACGTGCTATTTTAACCATTAAAAGTCTGTTTTATTGTTGTCACATGACGCACTAACAACATTTTTGTAACACGCGCTCACAATTTACTGCTGGGCATGTTCAGGTATGTTTTCTGCAGGTTTTTGACAGGCATGTTCAGGTATGTTTTCTGCAGGTTTTTGACAGGCATGTTCAGGTATGTTTTCTGCAGCTTTTTAACAGGCATGTTCAGGTATGTTTTCTGCAGGTTTTTGACAGGGCATGTTCAGGTATGTTACCTGCATGCTCTTAACCAGATCTCAAACCTCAAAAGAGTGGTGGTTGACCTATGAATATGTAAGGAAAACTGTAGACTGACCTATGACCTACATGGAGTTTCTATTACCAAGATGTTAAACGTGTGAGCTAACAGGGGCTAGAGAAAAAAATGCCCGTGTGTCTGACAATGGTGTGACCATGTGATGATGTAATTTCGTCTGGGGTTGACCAGTCGCTGCCATGATAAGTAATAACCATTTGACCACAGGAAATAGAATCAAGACTAAAATACAGAGGTCGTGTTGACAGCTCTCAAAATATGCCAAAACTCTGAAATACTACATTTTTAAAAACATTCCACTTGATCCCGTACTGGTATCAAATTCTCATGAGTCCACCACACTTAGGTCCCTTGCTTGCATACATAGATGGTTATCTCCCATGCACCGAATGGAACACGGTATTTACATTATAACATACCATGTTATGGGAGTTTAACAAACTAAATCTCATTAGAGCATTGGTGCCCCACATCTTGGCTCAAATTTTTTTTTAATTGTTGGAGAATAGAGAATGAGCTTTCAGTGGTGTTTTAAATTTGAATAATTCCGTACCATTAGGCAACCAACGGTTGAATAATTTTCGTCGTTGGCTAAAAGTAATTCAACACTAGATCTAGCTTGGAATAAAAATTAATTGATAATTAATTTATCTTTTGAATGCTTGAAATTATCATTCTTGAAAATATTACCATAAGTAGGCTTTGCTCCTTTGGAAGATAATTCGTGAAATATTTGAGGAATCACAAGAATATACAACATTTAATTTTCTTTTTGTTTATATTATTTTTGTTAAATCAATGTGTGTGTGTATGACCAATTTCTAACCTTCGTCCCCATCTATATATATAATTCTCTTCTTCGAGCCGTTAGAAAACAAGCTGCAAGCGCCTCCTTGCAGTTCCCTCTCTTTCTCTCTATCACTAACACCCCCACCCCACCCCCACATTGTCTGGTGAGCTGTGGTCACGTTGTGTTTACAGGGTTTATTGACGGCTATTAGGGGCAGCTAACTTAGTTTGAAACGATTTTAAACATACAGGAGGTAACTAAGAGGAGGCTGCTTTCACAGGGGGGGGGGGGGGGGTGTAGGGTCGGGGTTAGGGGAAAAGGGGGGGGGGAGTGTTTTAAAGCAAATATTTTCAGTGGCAGTATTGGTACTGTCGAATTCACAAATTATGAATTACTGAAAAGTAGAAGGTAAAACAACTAAATAGCGGCGTATGATACGCGGCGGGTCAGCTCGTATTATTTAATACAAGTAATTCAAATTTTGATATTTGTATTATAAATTTCAGGGCAGATAACTCTGCCCTTTGTAAACTTTGTTTCAGCATTGGTTATTATACGTGCAAGAAATACTTAAAAGTTGTATAATCTGATACAAGCAGACCTAGAAGGAAGAAGAGATCAACACATACCTGATGGGAAATCCAAGCCAAGATAAACCATTAGCTCCATATTTGTGCAACGTTCAGTTGTTATTTTTTTTTTACTGAAGGATACTGTAACCAGGGGCAAGAACTCCGATATGAAGTTGCTTACACAATTAGAGTTATGGTCACATGTCAACCTACTAGTCGCGTATGGCTGAAGGCGCGATACTTGCAGCATGAAGTAGCGGCAAGCAGTACCAGTGCTACATGGCTACCTAAGTAGAGCTACTTCAGTGTCCCAGCAATTAGTGCTAGATGGGGCGAGAGTTATGTTTGGTTGGCGCGCGGGGTTATTAATAAACTGCTGGCTCGATGACGGGGGTGCCAGATAAAACGTCAAGACGGCGCATCTGGCAAGTGAAAGAACCACGTGGTCGTCAACCAATCAGGTGCAGTGACTTGTCGTCAGTAGGAGAAACAGGGAGCTCCTAATGTTGGTGGGATGGTGAGGGGGGGGGGGGGTGATTAGCATATTGTGAATGGCACGTGACCGATGAACGCGCCTCCACTGACGGACAATAACAAATATCTGCTGAGGTCACGTGCAATATCATGTCACGTGATACCCTACAGTCGTCGGAAGTGTTTGTTGTTGGTACAGCATTGTGCAAGGGGAGACGATTAAGAGGTAATATTGAACAAGGGAAGACAATTAAGAAGTGACATTGAACAAGGAGAGACAATTTATAAATAGCATTGAACAAGGGGAGACGACAAATAAGTAATGAAAACCAAAGGTGATTGTAGTTGGGCACTAATGTACGCGCTAATGAGTTATCTGTCAAGGTTTCCTAATTAAAGTGATAATTCAAATGAAATGAAGATACGCTAATTAAAGTCTCAATATAAACTAAGCGAGACCTGAACAAATTACTGGACAATTGTAAAATTCCTTGTCGAATATCACGATCTATGGGGTAGCGTTACAGGGACCTCGACATGAGAAGGGATAGTATGGACAACGTTATATCCTGACGTCTTAATACTTTCAAAAAACTTTCCACCAAAGCTGGATGGGCTTCGGGACAGACTCGGGCAAACTGTTCTATCTCACTTTATAACCATTTTAATATACTCCTCACAAGATTCTACCATTCCCCCTCTGTCTCCCTCTCTCTCCTCCTCTCTCTCTCTCTTATGACTTCTCGCGCATCGTCCCTCTCGAATCATCTCTCATCATCTTTAACACTCTCTCCCTCACACCATCTTTCACACTCTCTCCCTCACACCATCTTTCTTTCACACACTTTCAATATTTCGCTAATAACCCCCCCCCCCCCCCCCACACCCACCCCACCTCTCCCCTAACCCTCTAGTAAAATGATGTCACATCACCTGAAGAAATTGCTATTATATTATGATTGAGCCCATTAAACGCACGTTCCCCAACACATTATAAAAACATTACCACATTAAGACGGGGTGCGGCGGTGGTGGGCGGTTCCATTATGTAGGGGTGTCAGGGGTGCGCTAAACGACTTGAGGCCAACCCAAAGATTTAAAGGGACGCTCCTTGATTGCTGCACATTCAACTGTCCAGTTATTGATCTGTAAAAGTAGGTCACCTCTGCAACAGTTTCTCTAATACAACGGAAAGTTGTAGGTTTGGTAGTTCCAATCTTGGGGTGTGTTGTCGTAGGGTTGGTCATTGGGTGGGCGGTAGTCTAGACATGTTTATGAGTAGATGTGTTTTGATTACAACTCACTGATTTAATGGCCTGGTAGTTCATCACTATATGGTTTTTGCATTTTGATTACGTATAATAAACAAACTTGTTGTGACCTTTAATTTTATTAATAAAATAATTGTTGACTTTCTCGTTTGACTCGCAAAACATGCATGAAGTCATACATGATATCCGGTACTTCTGCCACTCCCACTTTAGTTCTTGGAAAAATGTACCATGGATAGTTGTCTCCCTTTAACAAGTTGAATAGAGTGCTGTCCCTTGGAGCAATGGGACCGGTGTAGAGATGAGCAAATATAATTAAATATATCCTACGGGTGACCTTGACCTTGATCTATTTAAATATACTTTTCCATTCTCGGTCACTCTATCTCTATATGTCATAAATTAATGAAGTATTTGAAATTGCATTAATCTTTTTTAATATATTTAGTATGGAGTGTTTGAAAATATCCGGTTCTGGTACCCGAACCAGGTAAGGACAGGTAGACCACGTGACCTCCCTGCTAACTCGAGGCACCAACAGACCAGGGATGGAACTCGTCAAGGTCGCCCTAGCCGCCAGACATCTTACAGCTTACATTCAGGTGTTAAGTGAGTCGTCACATATTCATCACCAAAACAGTTCACCAAAAATTAAATGTTACACCCTCCCTCCCCCACCCCCAGTTTTTTTTTCGTTTCACGTGCACGCGTCCATTTGTCCTAGTTAAAGCTAAAAATAGCCACCAGCAGAAGTAGCGAGGTCAAGCAGCCGACAAAGATAATTGACGACGATTCAAACAATGTCATGGACGGTGTGATCAGTGTCACTGTCGCACGCGGCGGTTTGATTGCTTGTGTCAATGGTGACGTGTCACTCTACCTAGCACACCGCGCATGTCCCCCCCCCCCCCGCCCCCACACACACACAATTGGTACATAAGGCAACAAGCACCCAACGACACATAGAGTCGAGTCAATGCAAGGGGAGGCGACTCGCCTCAATTCAAACCATCCCTGTATGTCTAGGATCCCACCCATTGATTTATTCAACAGGTTTTTTCTATCCGTCACAGCCAAGGTTCAATAGTAAAGTTTCTTTCAGTGCAGCGGTTCTAAAACTGCTATGACAACATTAAAATTAAAAGTTTAGAGATATTGTAACGTTTTGCTTTTTACTTCTTGAGACGTTCTATAGTTGTGATTCAACAAAACCAAACAAAATTAATTGTTTGGTTTACTAGTGGGCGTTTATTATACCGGTTATGCTGCTACAGAAGAGGTACACGGAATGAGTTTTAGAATCCCTGATGTAACTGATTGAAACCTTGATCTGATAGAGTAAGATGCAGGGATGAGGGCGTTGATTGGGACAAAGATTTAGTGGGGTGAGTAGTCTATGGGAGTAGGCTACTCACTATCGTATTGCTAACAGGTGGTTGCATGTGGTTAGAGGTGGTTACAAAATGTTGGGTGGTTTAGTTGAAAATGGTTATATTTATCTACAGCTGCTTAGAGGTGGTTGCATGTGGTTAGAGGTGGTTGGTTGTGGTTGGATGGTAGAATATAAAGTGGTTCGATGTAACTACATGAGGCTAGAGGTTGATAAGGGTGGTTAGATTCTGTTGAGTAGTAGTGAGGGACAATGGTTCGATCCTCAAAGACACTGACTGAAGGTTGAGATAAAATGTCCAGGTTTTTTAAAAATCGTCATCAAATAGTTAAGTTATATTATATACTGCATACACAGTACATACGGAACAAATAATATTGTTACACATAAAATGTGACATCAATTCTACG